TGCCTGCATGGCTTTCCCTGCTTCCAGACATGTGCTTCCAGGATCTTCCTGGAATCTGGGAAAGTTAAGTTTCCCCCCTTCCAGAGACATGCCCTTGGCAATCTTTACTCTAATATTGTTCTCAGGTTGACTCAAAATGACATGTCACAGCTTTTATAGGAGTTATGAAACAACAGTACATAGGGCAAAATCCTGTTTTGTCTCATAGGCAAGTAAGTATGAGTCTAAATGAAATTCTACTTCCCTTTTTTCCATTATAGAAGCACTATTATAACAATAATTAAACCCACTACATGACAACTCTGAATATAGGTAAACTGTGTAGCCATGCTCAGTAGAGCTCAGTAGAGCTACATGGTATCATCTCTGGAAGAGTGTGGTAACCACTGGTACCTTGGAGTAATTTTGTTCTGCTACCTGGTCGTTCACAGCCTGTATGGCCTCAGCGAGGCTATAAATTGTACTCGGGTGTAAAGGTGGTATAGGGCATTACCAAATCATGGACAACTAGCCTCATATGTTAGTCACAAGAACCAAGTGGAAGTCTTTTCTTCCTCATCATTTAAGTGGCTCTGCTTTAAACTTCACAACAGTATGTTTGGCACTTCTGTACAGTGGAAATTCAATTCCTTGATGCATAAACTGCACATGTAGACATTTATGTCAGTATTTCCCAACCTTTTCCAGCCCAAGGTACACTTCAATTAATAAAATTTTTCTGCAGCACACCAGTTGCCAATTTCTAAAATCACGAGTGAGACCTTATAAGCGGGCAATAAGGCGAAGTGCAGCGTTTATTGATTAGGTGCTTAATACACACACACGTATCCCATGTTCATTCCCCAATTTCTGTTCTGCGCTGGTATATGTTACCAGTCTTATCACTCCTCGGATCAACTTAGCGGTTGGCTAAGCTGAGCACGAGTAGAAGCTGAACTTCTCCTGGTCCTTCTCATCAGATGAACCTGTGCTTCAGGATGACATGCAGAACAAGACCCAAAATCAATATGTCTTGCCCCATCTTTTATAGCCCGGTGAATTCACCTAGTCCTCTGGGCTCTGCTGTATTATCGCTGTGTTCTTTCTGGAAGGTTAATTGACGTTGTTCTCTCGCTGTTCTGGGGCAGATTCTTGTTTTGGTCTTTTATCTGTCTACATTCTTCTGCCATTCGTCAAGCTGAAGTTTTCCTTTTGAGCTGCTTTTTCCTGTGCTGTGCTGTGCAGGAGCTGCCTTCTTTTAGCTGGAGACTATGTAATACCCAGGACCAGGTCTGGATCCCAACGCCACCACAGAGAAGGTACAACCCACAGAGCTGCCTGTCCGCTGCCCAAGTCCTTCAGGAATTGTGCAGTTTAGGCTTTAAGAAAAACATTTTTCATTGCTACGTTAGTGATGTAGCAGTGGAAGTGGACAGCATTATAACAGAGGTTGATAGAAGATGGCAATTAAAATATCTAAAAAATATTTCAAGTATTCCTGCCTTCCCTCCCCACCCCGCCTTTTTTGGTTATGCAATGATTTCAAACAAGTTCTTGCTTGAAATAGTTTCAAAGTGAAAAAGATGGGTTACTGGGAATCTATAGGTTTTCTTTGTTAGTCGTCTATTGATTCTTAAAGGAGAAAAGAAAAGAGAGAAAATATATCTAGGAACAATTTTGGTTGTTTGTTTTAATTTCCATTTGATTTGTGACAACACAAAAATAAATGTTGTGAATTGCTTTTTTAAACAATTAGATAAAGTCCAAGAAAATAAAATAAAGAAAAATTCATTTTGGTGAAAAGCGCTCATGAAAAACTGTTAAAAATTTTTACTCTCCCTTGGGATACTCCAATAAAATCTTTCGCCTTTTTATAAAAAACAGTAGAGAATATTCGAGTTCCCCATTTGTAACATGACTTAACCTGCCATTAGGTCTTCACATCTCCCCTGAAAGTACAACCACAGTTCTCCGTGCTGGCCACCCCTCCCCAACTTCATGGATATTTGTTAAGTCAATGCAAAATGGTAAGTTGCTTGGAAATATTCATTCCATCTTAGCATATATGTATTTCTGTACTTATTAATATTTAAATATGAGCTTAATTCTCACTGATTTCAGAATTAATAAAAGATACAATTTTCTGATTTGATTCATTCTAGAACTATTTTGCAATTGCTTCCTTTAAAGAAACTATTAAAATACTTAACCCTACAGTCAGAGCATGAAAACTGCAGAAGGAAACGGTTGAAAGAAAATGACAGAAAACCCTCCCTCCCCAAAATGTCTATGACATCTGTCTGTAAAGAATTTCTAATTAAATTAATTTGGAATGTACACATAATGTAGCATTTGAATAAATAATAAAACATATAGTCAATGGATCATCTAATCTTTGTATTATGAAACGACCTATAAAAATGGGGTCTATTCGATGGCACGGAAGTTCTCAGAAATGTTTATTGATCAGTCGAAGTTCATCTACCTGACCGATCCTCCTGAGAAGTTTTGTGTTGTGCTCTGCCCTCGCTAAGATATCTTCGGTTCTGACAAGAAGTTGGAAGTAGTTCCTTAGAGCGTCAGCCGTCACATTCCACGTCTAATTCCAGCGCTCAAACCACTTTAGGGTTTAATTGTAGCTTTTCTCTCCAGTTTTTAAACGACTTTTTTTGTTTCAAACTGCTGTATGCATTTCAATCCTGCAGCATGTGTTACACTGGAACGAAAAAGTAACAGCAATTGGAAAGCTGTAGCAATTTCAAACGGTGTCAAATTAGATTAGTGTCTTATCTTAGAGAGACAGCCAGCATACCACAAGTTGGGGCACCTAGGAACATGGGACTGGAAGGGCCTGTGAGGCCAGTTCGAGTCTTCTGTATTCCCGGGCTGGGCTTTATCCAGCGGTTCCTAACAATTACTTCAACCCCCCCCATACCGCAAGTCGTAGCCATCGTTCACAGTATCTGATTATGAGAATGACAGCCTTCCTATAGATAGGGAAGTCACCAGTGAGTCCAGAGATGCCTGAAGAGGCCAATCCAAGTTTTGCAAGCTTGACTTCAGCTGTGCCATCCAGTTCCAGAAGGAAGGAATGGATCTGGGTGATGTCGGGTCACGTCTCCCTTTCTTCTCTCACTGACTTGTCTCCATAGCGAAGTGAGTTTCCTCAAAATGGTTGATGCCTCATCATACTGTTAGGGACAATTCAGTGCTCAAGTCTCCCATGTATTGATGTTAATATTTCATTTCTTATGCATGTCAAATGAAAGTATTTGAAAGAAATTACAATTCTGAAACAGTGACATATCTTGCAAAATTTACACCCTCCACAGACAGGAAGTATACAAAAAACAATTAGTATGCAGGTTTGACAATATAGCATATATAAAGCAAATATAAATGGGGGTAAAGGCAGCAGATGCGGGAGTCTGGGCTCTGGGGGTTGCAAGAGACTCTGTGAAGAGGAAGGGATGGATCAGTCCCACCCCTGAGGAGGGGATCTGGGCTATTTTTCAGTGTGGGGGTAAGTACTGGGCTCTCACACCCCCTGATCACACACCCCTGCCCCTGGGCCAGCCCCCAGAGCTGATCCGGTCTCTCTGAACTATGAGTTGGGGTGGGTGGCATTTTTGGATGTTGGCAACGAAGTCCCTATCTTCACTTTCCAGACTGTGTTTTTTACGGGGCAGAGAATCCGCCCTTGGTTCTGGGTTGGTCCAGTAGCTTATCTCGAACTATGTCCCATAGATCTTAAATGAAATATCCGACTGAAATTGGGACTCTCCAGCCTCAGGCTTGTCTGTGTGGCTCTGCAGCGGGGTCAGCAACTTGCGGCAATGACTGGGTCAGAAGTGGTGCCCCGCTACTCAGAGGTTGACCCCCCTGCTCTGAAAGACTTGTGCCTTCCTGCAGGTGTTCCCACTGTCTACTCTCTGTCCTTGATTGTTAGACAGCCTTTCTGCTTTGAAGGCTTTGTAAAACAGTGTGAGACCCAGGTTTTTTAGAAATTGGTTAACCCCTGGATACATATATCTTCAAGCCAATTCCCAAAGAGCAAATCTTTCAATACCACTTTCAAGCTATCAATGGAGACATTAGTAGTTAGATCCAAACAGGTGATGCCTGTTTCCACACAGCTCCTTTCCTTCTCCTCACTAAAGTGTTAAAAAGGGAAGCTTGTCACATCCTCAGGCCTATGAAAGGAATGGGTGTGACTGAAATGTTTCTAATCTTTGGTTTCAGGGTGGAGAAGGTTTGCAGTGCCTATTGAAGAAGGTAGTTAATGATTGTGGTTTATGAGTGGTCACATCCCACCTCCCATGTGAAATCCTCCCTCCTTGGGTGGATGAGCAGGCAGTGACTCACTAGCTCAGTGGAAACCTCATCAGCAAACCTCAGCACAAGCCTCATCAGCTTCTTGCATTTAAAGGATATCAAAAGGACAGCATCAGACATTTTCTGTGGCCGTGACCCACCAAAACACAATGCACCCAGGTGTTCTTCCTGTCCTTTCTCTGCCTGCATGCACCCTGCCTCTACAGCATTTCCTGAGAGCACTTCCCATTGCTACCAGAGAGCCATGGGGAGCACGCACCTCCTGCCATCCCTACCCTGCAAAGACTTGTCCTGCCTCCACATATGTACCACCTGCTGCTGCTGCTTACATTGCCACCTGGTTTTGCTCCCCCACTTTCTGTTTCATAGAGGGGTCATGACCTGTAGATGAGGAGCTGACTGAATTTAGTGAGAAAATGTTAGGATTATAAGCATTTAAATGCTTGGGGGATATGAAACATGGGGGATATGAAACACAAGGATTGTTAAGAAAGTTGCTACCACATTGTGGGTGCTGGGGTTACAACCTGGGTCACCCACTGCCTGGACAAATACCCTGAACACTGGACTTAAAAAATGGTATGACTCTACTACTTCTCCTTCTCCTCCTGCTACATCCAACATTGGTAGTCATGTGTTATCTGGGGCATGCACTGAGGGACCTTCCTTCCGGCCCTGAATAAGATCAAAATCAAGTGTAAATGACTACAGCAGATCCCTTGTGAACATCCTCAGAAGGGCAACATTATTTCCACAGCAGGATCTAAAAATCGGTGCAAACAGTGCCATAGGGGCTGCTGAAGTTAGGCCAGGTAAGTGCTACTTACCTGCCTGAAGAAGGTTTGGATTTGGGCTGAGCGTCTCCAGTCCCTGTGATGAAGAGAAGAGGGAGCAGAAGGGAAAACTTCTGAGGCCAATCCTCCGTCTCTGTATCCGTGTCTCTCTCACTGCCCTGTCTCTCCCCGGGGAGGGAATCATCTCTGCACTTTGAGATCACAGACGTGCGTGCATCCTGGAGAAAGGAGACTCTCCCGTTCATTCTTCTGCCGGCGGTTTCTGTTACTGACCTGATCAAACCCTCTCTCAGGGCTGGGCTTTGCCTTTGACCCTGATTCTCTCTTTCTCTCTTCAGTGAGCCTGACGCTGGATGCAGACACAGCACATCCCCAGCTCATCCTATCCACGGATTGCAAATACATGAGCTGAGGAGATACACAGCAGGATTTGCCTGAATATTGTGGGAGATATGATATTTTCCACTATGTGCTGGGCTGTGAGGGCTTCTCTACAGAGAGACATTGCTGGGGACAGCAGATGCGGGAGTCTGGGCTATGGGGGTTGCAAGAGAGTCTATGAAGAGGAAGGGATGGATCAGTCCCACATCCGGAGAGGGCAAGTGGGCTATTTTTCAATGTGGGGGTAAGTACTGGGCTCTCACCTCCCCTGATCACACACTGCCTATTTGTTGTTACATTGTTGTGTTGCAGGAGGACACCTGGAGTAGGGCAGATTGAAAGAATGGAAAATAGTACTAAAAATGAGTGCTCGTCCATATGAGCATCCTCACTAGGGGGGACATGTCTCAAGTATTTAATCTCAGATGCTTTCTCTTCTACCCTACTGCATGCCCTAACCCCACTCTTTTATATGCTTGGATCTGAAGGCCTTGAAAAAGGCTAAGGCAATCAGGACACGTAGTAGACATGTTATCTGTTCTTAGACCAACAAGATTTTTGCAAAAAAAAAAATTCTTTAATTTCAAGCTTTCAGACACAAACACCCTTCATCGTGCATTTGAGAAAAGATTGTAAAAATTCTCCTGGGTGGGAATGAAAGTTCATATTTCATAGGATTTCACAGAAGAGTCAATAAAAAGAGGCAAGGATTTTTAAGGTGATATTTATATTGGACCAAGTACTTGAAGGATGGGCTAGTATTTGTGCCCAAGAGCCGCATACAGAGCATTTATGAGCTGTCAGGGGCCAGGTCAGTACCGTGTGTCCTCCCTTCACCCCACAACAACTTGCGAAAACTCTCTCTGGGGCTGTGCGGGTGCAGGGAGCAGCGTTTGGGAGCAGGACAGGCAGGCAAGGCTAGGCACATGGGGCCAAGTCGTAGCGTGTTGACAGCTCGGGGCCAGGGCTCAGCCGACATGTGATCTGCTCCCTGCACCCCCTGCCCTGCAGAGTGGGGTGTGTTTCTGTATGGGTGAATGTGTGGCGGGAGTGTGTGCATGTGTGTGTGTGCGAGGGGTGCTGCCTGGGCACTAGGTCTCAGGAGCCAGCTGGGTGTGAGGAGAGGGAGGAGGCCAGGGGTGCATGCAGCAGAGCTCACCCAGGTGGTGTGGTCCACATCATTCCCCATAGCACTCTGCATAGGGTCAAGCACCACGGGGGCAGCTGCAGACCTCACCGCCCGAGCAAGCTGTGCTGCACGTGCCCCCTGCTTCCCCCTCCCGCTCCTCCCCCTCAGCTTCAGCCTACACCCACTGGCCCAATCCTGACCCTGACCAGTGGGCAGTTTCCAGCAGGGCTGTTCCTGATGTGCCTGCAGCCGGCCGGGTGCTGCTCCGCTCCCCTCACCTCCAGTGCTGACTCCTCCTCCCACTCTTGCCCTGCTGCACCACTCCAGGTAGGCAGGAAACTTTAGCCAGGCAGCTCCTGTGGGAGGCAAGGGGAGCAGAGCAGCACTGGGAACAGCCCTGCTGGAAGTGTGCGCAGTGGTCGGGGCCCAGGCTGGCAGGTGTGGGAGGGACACGGCATGGGCTGCCCTGGCAGGAGTAGGTGGGGCTTGGCCCCATGTGCAGTGCCGTGGGGGCAGCTGCAGGCTGGATCCAGTCAGTTGCTGCCTGGATCCGGCCTGCGGGCCATATTTTACCCACCCCTGAGCTGTGTAGTTGGGATAGAGTTAGACAAGTTTTCAAAGGCAAGGTGTGCTTTCTCGGGTTGCACACCTTACTTGCTTGCAAGTAAGAAGAGCGTATGCACTGTTCCTTAGTTTCTCCTTGCCTTGGCTGAAGATCAAATGCCCCACAGGTTTTTCAGCCCTTCTTTTTTAAAGACCTGCCTCTGCCTCTTGAAAATGAGAGTTATTTCTTCTACTTTTTAGGCATTTGGTGTCTCATCAACTGTACATTGTTCAGATGCTTCCCAACAAATATCTCTGCCTTATGGTGCCTCTGTTAACAGGGGACATCATTTTTTGTCTTTTTCCTTCTTTTTTTTTTCATTTCAGTTCACAGCCCTCTTTCATTCTTTCCTTTCCTTTCTGTGGAGGAGGCATATAAAGCCCTGGACTTTAGTTAACTTGTGCCTCAAGTTCATTCAAAATATCTGGGATTTGAGCCAGGATTTGAGCTAATTTGGGTGGCAAATTGGCTTAGCAGTCACACCAGAGAGTGGTAGTAGATGGGTCAATATTGACCTGGAAGGATGTGGGTAGTGGGGTCCCGCAGAGTTCAATCCTTGGACCTGTACTCTTCAGTATCTTCATCAGTGATTGGGCTGTGGCTGTGAAGTGTACCCTGTCCAAGTTTGTGGCCGATACTAAATTGTGGGGTGAAGTGCACACTCTGGAGGGTAGGGAACGATTGCAGTCAGATCTGGACAGGTGAGAAAAGTGGGCAGTACACAATAGGATTCAGTACAACAAGGACAAGTGCAGAGTGCTGCACCTAGGGCACAAAAATATCCAGCACATCTACTGGCTGGGCAGTGACCCTCTCAGCAGCACAGAAGCGGAAAGGGATCTCGGAGTCATAGTGGACTCCAAGATGAACATAAGTCGTCAGTGTGATGAAATCATCAGCAAAGCTAACCGCACTTTATTCTGCATCAGCAGAATAATTGCAAATAGATCCAAGGAGGCGACATTTCCCCTCTATGCAGCATTTGTCAGACCACAGCTGGAGTACTGCATTCAGTTTTGGGCACCGTACTTCAAGAAGGATGTTGATAAACTGAAGAGGGTCCAGAGGAGGGCCACTCATACGGTTAGGGGCTTACAGGTCAAGCCCTATGAGGAGAGACTGAGGGACCTGGACCTCTTCAGCCTCCACAAGAGAAGGCTGGGAGGTGATCTTGTGGCCGCCTATGAATTCATTAGGGGGACGGAGCAAGGGATCGGAGATGCTCTGTTCACCAGGGCGCCTCTTGGGGCAACAAGGAACGATGGTCACAAACTGACAGAGAGCAGATTTAGGCTAGATATCAGGAAAAACTTCTTCATGGTAAGGGTGGCCAAAACTTGGAATGGGCTTTCAAGGGCGGTGGTGCTCTCCCCTACCTTGGGGGTCTTTAGGAGAAGGCTGGAGAGGCATCTGGCTGGGGTCATCTCTATGAATCTCTGAATTGTTACTTCTTTTTTTAAGGAGCCCCTTTACCACATCAGTGCCAGATAAGCCTGCAGCAGGTTGCAGGCCTAAGGACAGTCGCAGAAGGAAGTTCCTGCCCCAAGAAGTCCTGCCTTTGTGTCGCCTTGCCCTTTTACAGTCTTGAGCCGTAACCAAGGAAGAGAGTGGTGCACCACTTCCAAAACTCGGTGGATCCTGTTGAAACTCACTGTTGCTCCTACCCATCCCCCAGCTGCATCTAGTGAGCCCCGGTTCCATGGACGACGCACTGGAACAAGCATCCCAGGCCCTTCTCAGCTTCACTGCACCTCTGGGAAGACGTGTCCCTGTGGGAACAGCTTTGAGAGCTCTTGCACCGGTTTCCCCACAATTGCATGTATTGGGATCTCATGTACCTTCTCCTTCCCTCTCTCCAGCCCCATATCTCCAGAGTTGGCCATGATATTGTTCACACAGCCGGGGACTTGTTGTTCTCTCCAGATCTGGATTATCTCCTTTCCCAATTCTATTTTTGATTCCAATCCTGGATCCAGTCCTTCTGGTGCTCCTGGGAGATCAGACTGTCAAAGATCTGAGCAGGATCATGGATACACCTACTCTGCAAAGCCGCCTCACCGACCCAGAGCTCTCTATAAAAGTTCCCAGAGCATCAGCACTCAAGCAAAAAGCTCCACTCATCTTAGCGGCTTCAGCTGCATCTGGCTTCCAAGCTTTGAGAGGCACTGACATCCCCAGCTAACAATACTTCTAGTCTCCCTCAGTTGGCTTTTACGAACCAGGATCAGCATGGGGTACAGCTCACAGTTGTCTCTTGCCCCCTCCCCAACCCAGCACCTACAACGTTGGGCAGCAGCAATTGAAACTAAATCATGTAACCCAGACAAGACAGAAGTTCTCCAACTCCAAACTCTGACTCTGTTACAAGGGACAGCCCCCATGTTGTGCTTGGGATCACAGAAGTGTATTATTACACAAATGAGACAGGGGAGGCCCACATACAAAGGGGCACCACGGTTGGGAAGGGTGCACAGGAAAGGACCCAGGGTGCCAGGGCCAGCACCGGGGTCCTGAGGGCAGCAGGGATCAGAATGGAGCTGGTCCCGGGGCCCTTTCCTTTTCTGAGCATCCCTCTGTGCCCAAACAAGCTGAGCTGTGTCAGGAGAGAGGGCAGCCTTGGCTGTGATTCCCCTTGGGGCCCAGCAGACTAAGCCTTTCAGGACCGCTCTGCCCTGCTGCCCTGGTGGCACTCTGCCAAGCTCTTGTGGGGGCAGAGGCAGGGGCTGAGTCCTGTTCTCTTTACCCACATGTCATGGCACCGTTACCGACGAGACTGGATTCTAAGGAGACCCATGTCCCAGGGGCTGGCAGCACATCCATCAGCATTGTCCTGATTATTACAGTGTTAAGTATCCCTGCCTGTCATGTGGGAGACCGGGTTCAATTCTTCTACAGGGAGGCGCTGCTTCTGCCCACCTGCCAAACCCACCGCCACTCCCTCCCTGTTCCCTCAACCAGCGCTCCCCTGCTGAGAGTATGGGCCTTTTTTTGCAGGCTCCGGCAGGGCAGGCTATCATGTGCACTGCCCTCCCCTGAACCACTTGTGCTTGTCAGACCCACCACTCTCGGTGGACCCAGGGTGACTGGGACTTGCTGAGCAGTGCGGATCCTGGCTGGGGCTGGGGTAGGGGGTCAGACACCACCCAAAGCTTCCCCTTTAGGTTCAGCTGCTTCCAGAAGTGCTGTCAGATACCATGCGGGGGAGGCAGTTCGGGCACAGGGGCTGGGGCTTTCCCAGCACATCTCTCCGGTAGCACAACTTCTTCCTTTCCCTCAAAGCCTGTCCCAGCTCTAGATATTGATGCAGCCAAAAGGAGACCATTGCCCCAGTGCCTGGCAACTCCCTGCCTCCTCAACCCACCCTGCTCGGGGCCTTGCGGAGCAAGTGCTGCAAGGGCTGGTGCACTGCTGTGGGCAGGGTGGTGCAAGCACTTGCGTCTCCAGAGGAATCAGCAGCCGCGGTCCCCATGGGGCACTCAGTGGCTCTGGCTTGGTACCAGCACAGGGACAGGCAGGAGGAGCCTGAAAGGGAGGGCCCGAGGCACATCTGGGCCAGCGGGATTGGAGCTGGTAAGCATCCCCTGCCCCTGGTGCTGGGGAGTGGCAGCGCTTGAGCCCCGGCGCCTCAGGAGACCCCATGTGCTGCAGGGCTGCCCCGTGGCTGGGTGCAGGCTGCTCACTTCTCCTGGCTCTGCAATGGCCCTGGATACGGGCGTCTGGAGCAGGAGGCAGGTGACCCCATCTGCATGAGTGCTTCTCAGAGATTTTTTCCCAGGGGGCCCTTGATTGGTAGGGACCCCTAGGCCCAGGCCACACAGGCCCATGTTTCAACGTGCCTATGCCCAAAACAACTGCTCTATTCCCAGTTTAGGCTTGGCCTGAGATGTTATGGTGACTAGAAGAAATGCTACAAGAACTTACTGAAGGCATGCCTCAAGAAAATGGATGCAGACCTGAAGTGTTGGGAGGAGCTGGCTGCCAGCTGACTCCAGCAGTGCTGCACAGTTAACCAATGAAAGCCTGTTTAAAGCTAAATCATTGCCCTCAAAACAGAAAAGAGAGAGCAGAGGAAGGAAAAGTAGAGGAATCACAGCCTGCTTTCCCTGCCAAAAGTCCTACAACTTCAGGAGATGGCTCAAGGATTAGACTCTGAAATCACCTCCAGTCCCATCAGTGAGAAATGGCAGAGGTCATCCTTGAATCAAGGGATTGCTGACCATGACTCCTCTTACTGCATGGGTCACTTTAACTCTGTATCTGGACACTTTCATTCTTTATATAAGTTTTGTCCCCACGGTTTACATATCACTAACTCTAGCCCTGTAAGGAGCATGAGCAGGAGCTTTACTTCACATTTTCTTCATTTTCCACCATCTGACCTTTGGGTTTGTAAATCACCAGGAAGGACACGCTGACAACAGGCCGAGTGCAATTGGGCGACAACCGTAGAAAAGCTTTGTGTCCATCTGGCTCAGAGGTAGCTGAAAAAGTGATGCTTACAGCCCCCACAAACTGCCACGCGAACTTCCCAGGGAAGGCAATCGGTTTGGTTCATGAGGAATTGAATTCCTTGAAGCCAGCGGCTTGTGACAAGGGAATGAGATGTTAAAATAAAGAAATAAATCACCAAGCAGAACCTACTTCTATATTTATCAACAACAGCTTTACTGACTGCAATCGTGAGGACAATGAAAAACTTGGGGTGATTTTTAATAATCAGAGTGAGGGGAAAGGGCCAAAATTTGCACAAATCATGTTTTAAGCAGCTGCAGCGGCTCCACTTCTCAGGACCGGAGGCTCTGGACAAGCAGTGCTTCAATGAACATCAGGGCCGGGTTCAACTGCATTTCCCAACACAACCAGCCCCGGGTTTTGGTGCCTCCTCTTCGCTGCCCCTCCCCCAACCCCCCAGCTGCACCCATGGGTGCCGGACCCCACAGGCCCCCGAGGGCCCCTCGGTCATGTAGGAAACGACACACGGGCAGAGTCGACCGTCCAGCTCAGCCACGTCCTGCTAACCGTGGTCGGGGGATGAAGAAACCCAGCCTGCGCGTCCAGGGCCATGGACACTGCACAGCTGATCGTCTGCAGCGAGAGGCGTCCTCCAGAGTCACAGACACGAGCACGACTGAGGCCGGAGGGGACAACGAGCAGGTCCCGTCTTGCACGTTTCCTTTCCCTCTCACTGGCTCCGGCTGAGCCTGATTTCACCAAACTCCACCAGGAACCAGGGCCGGATCCTGCCCCCCGCGAACGAAGCCGGCGAGAAGGTGAAGATCAGGGCCCTGGTGTCAGCATCGAGAAACGACACCTGCCCCAATGTGCAGTCCAGATACACCCCCACCCTGCTGGGCACCCGGTCCAGGGACAGCGGGGTGCGATCAGGGGCAGCGAGAGCCTCGTAGTGACCCACCCAGCGCCGTACACCCCAGACCCCCTCCTCGGGGCTAAATATGATCACTCCCTTCCTGCTCACAGACTCTCTGGCCACCCCCACAGCCCACCACCTCCCCTCTCCCACCTGCACCTCCCACCAGTGTCTCCTGGAGGTGAATCCCTCACGGCCCAGCATGCAGAGCCACGTGTCAAATCTCTCAGGATTGTCGGGCAGATCCTGCCGTGTGTTTGTCTGTCTCAAAGTTTTCCCATCCTCAGACAGGACGAGCTCGGGATGAGCCGTGTCTGGATCCAGAGTCATGTCCTCTGCAGGGAAAGGAGATAACAGGAGTGTGAGGAGCAGAGCTCAGCCCGAGGACAGGGTGTGATCAAGGCAGGGGCAGCTTTGGCTGCAGCTGGAGGTGAATCTGGAGTGGACCCGAGCAGGAAGCAGCCCAGAGACCTCAGCAAAGGGCAGGGCCGATTCTCCTGTCAGGAAGAGACGGGCCAGGGACAGAAACACGCTGGCTGGGCCAGGGCTGGGGCACGGGATCGTTCCCCTCCTGCACCTGCCGGTCACAGGCAGGGATGAGAGACCCTGGGGGCTCAGGAGAGCCCGGCAGAGGGTGTGAAGGGGAGAGCATGGATACAGCTTCTGGGGCAATGGCCAAAAGGAGACCATTGCCCCAGCACCTGGCAACTCCCTGCCGCCTCGACCCACCCTGCTCGGGGCCTGGCGGAGCAAGTGCTGCAAGGGCTGGTGCACTGCTGTGGGCAGGGAGGTGCAAGCACTTGTCTCCAGGGGAATCAGCAGCCGCGGTCCCCATGGGGCACTCAGTGGCTCTGGCTCGGTACCAGCACAGGGACAGGCTGGGGGAGCCTGAAAGGGAGGGCCCGAGGCACATCTGGGCCAGAGCTAGGACTAGCGTCCAAGATCAAAGATAATAAAAAGTCCTTTTTCAAATATATAGGGAGGATGAAGAAGGCACCGGGAAACATGGGGCCCCTGCAAGATACGCTGGGCAATCTGGTGGTTGCGGCAGAGGAGAAGGCAGACCTCTTTAACAAATTCTTCACCTCCGTTTTCTTGTGCAGGGACCGGGACTCCCCCACCGTGATTCAGGACGGACTTGAGGGGAACGCCTCCAGACCTAAGGTTGAGGAGGACCAGGTTAGAGTGCTTCTGGAGGGGCTGGACGTGTTCAAATCAGCAGGTCCAGATGCTCTCCACCCCAGGGTGTTGAGGGAGCTGGCTGGGGTTATTGCAGGGCCCTTGGCACGGCTTTACAAGCACTCGTGGTGCTCAGGCCAGGTGCCAGATGATTGGAAGATAGCCAATGTGGTCCCCATCTTTAAAAAAGGGAGGAGGGAGGACCTGGGCAACTATAGGCCTGTCAGTCTTACCTCAATCCTGGGGAAACTCTTTGAGATCCTTGGGACTGCACTGAAAGGGAGGGCCCGAGGCACATCTGGGCCAGCGGGATCGGAGCAGGTAAGCATCCCCTGCCCCTGGTGCTGGGGAGTGGCAGCGCTTGAGCCCCGGCGCCTCAGGAGACCCCCTGGGCTGCAGGGCTGCCCCCCGGCTGGGGGCAGGCCGG